TTCTTTTAATCATCTTAGCTGCAGCCTCTTCCAGATAGCTTCCCTTAATTCCCTCTAGTGAAGGTTTTATGTGGCTTCTTGGTAGTTCTATAACACCCAGTTTATAAAATTATTGTTGTACTTTCAACAGAATATTGAGGTTATCAGCTTAAGTGTTTTTGCCTCCTTCATATTGACCACACGTTCATTGAGGGCTAGAAATGTGTCTAATTTATCTCTGTGTACCAGACTCCAGAAAGTGTCTGTCACATTAACTGATGCTCAACAAATGCTTGTGGAACTCAGGCTAAGATCATATCCAATTACCCTGAAACTATCTAAAGTGAATGGGAAGATCAGAAATTTGAGGATTACAATTAGCTATTGCAAATCAATAGTTGGTGGTTCAGCTTCAGAAAGTATGTAGCCTTCTCTGATATCTTCTAGAGTCAAACCAAAGCTTTTCAAAAGGCCCAAAAGGTGGGCCTGAAGATTCGGCCCAACTGGAATCTTAATTATCCTCTAGCTTTAGAATCAACCAGTCACTGTCCAGTGAACAAAAAGGAAATTCTAGTCCTGGGAGACAAATGAAGTAACAAGTTTGCGTTAGCCTTCTCTCCACTTTCAATGCTTTTACATTCCCTTTATTCCAAGGTGCTCCTTTGGGAAAGGATCAGCATTCAATAACATCTTAATCTTGTTAACGGAAAAAAAGGCAAACTCTGTAAAATAATTTTAAATAGATTTATTCTGAGCTATATTTGAGGACCATGACCTGGAGCCACACCGAAGAAGCCTTGAGCAAGTGGACTCACTGTGGCTGGGTTACAGGTTGGTTTTATACAGTTCAGGGAGACAGGGATTACAGGTAAAGTCTTAAATCAATACGTGGGAGGTATACATTGGTTTGGCCTGAAATAGGTGGGCCATCTTGAAGGGGGAGTGGGGTGTGGGGAGGCTTACAGGTTATAGGTGAGTTTAAAGATTCTTTGACTTGCAATTGTTAAAGACATGAAGCTTTGTCTAAAGGTTTGCAATGTTTTAACATAAGAAGCTGTTTATCAGAGATAAGCCATTGGGCATATTTGTTGTGTAAATTGAGGACCTGCAGGTTTGTCTTGCAGCTCCTTAGGCCTGTTAATGGGTTATAAAGCATGTCCCCAAGAAGGGAGAGGGGGCATGATGAGGCATGGCTGACCTCTCCCTTGTGGCAGGCAATTTAGTTTAAGGATATTCCTTTGGTCAAGAGGGGGTCCATTCAGTCATCTGGTGGGGGGGTGAGCCTTAAGATTTTATTATAGTTAACAATATGTTATCCCAATTGATATATGTGCATTTTTAAATATTATTCCAGAAAAATTACTCAAAAAATGAATTATTTTGTTGAAATTTCTAACAATGTGGTACTAGCATAGAGAAATATTTTGGAGACTTCCAGGAGACTTCCTCATACCCATTAAACCAGACCACATCAAAAAGTTATTATTCTTTCCATTCATAAAGTGATTCTAGGTTATGAATTATATAAGCATCAAAACATGGCAATGTTTATCTATTGCTTACTGAGCATTTGCTATGTGCCAGACACTGTGTTAAACATTTTATAAACACCATCTCTCCTAATCTGCATTACATTTTAAGAATGTTGGTATTGTCATCCTAACTGTACAGATAAGGAAGGAGACTCAAAAGAATTGAGTAATGTGCCAAAGTCACACAAATAGTAAATGACAGAACCTTGAGAGTGTCTAATTTCTAAATAATTATCATAGCCACTATGTTATTCAGTTTTTGCTGTACTCATTGCTTTAAGATTCTGGAAGAGTAGACAAAATAAACAATATGAATCATTTTTGTAGAAAATTCATGAGGTAAACATCAGATCTTCTGGTTCAGAAATATTAGTTCTCTCAGGAGTTTGTTTTAAATGTAAGCAGACAGTCAGATGTTCAATAAAGGAAAATTAGATTTAATTAATGAATATGGTTGAATAATTAGAAAGTTTTGGAGTTTGGGGATTTTTTTCCAAAAGCACCCTTATTTAAAATAACTTATAAAGTCATATTCTATTTCCTCTAAGCCTCTATTATATCTTTATATCCTTTGTCTCTGTCCTCATCTTTTTTAACCAAACTTTCCCAAATGATATGCCTAACAGCCATTATTTGTATCCTTGATTACATAATTATTGGCATTATTAATTTCACCAATATAAAGTTTAGCGGAAGAAATTTAGAATTAAACAAGATGGAATGTTTCACATCCCAGCATGTTGAAGACCTTGAGTAAATATTCATTTGGATATTAGAGATTTAAGGTATATGACTTTCATTAATATTTGATAATATCTTTTCTCATATTCCAGGTGTTAAAATTGGCACCCATAACACAGAGTAATCGAGCAGAGAATCAGAAAGCATCTGTCAATTTAATTTATGCACAAAAAGATTTGCTGTGTTCACCAGGTAAGCAGGAAGCTTTGATGTGTTACAAACAGAAGTTAAAACTTCCTTTATGCTCTAACATTGCATAAAATGTATTATGTGTGTATTATCAGAATTATACTACAACATATCAGATATAGTGGGAACCAGGAAAGGCACTAGTTTTACCTACCTATATTCAATCCACTTTGAGTCAGAAATCATACTAGAGGTCAGAGGCATCATTTTAATGATGTTAGCCCAATGTCTGAATTGCTATAGCACCTCTCTTGTGATAAGCTTAAAGCTTCTTTGTCTCCCAAGAATTCAAATGTGTGACATGGGGTAGATCCTAACAGACTTAGAAAGTTTGTACATTAGAGGGTTATTTATTGTAACATGGTTAAGCTTCTATGGACTCTTTTTTTATTTCCTTGTCCCCATTGGCTCTGCTGAGAAGCAGAGCTGGCCTTATGCAGGGAGAAAATATCATGTGATTAATATGTGCTACAGAAATTTTAAAAAAATTCTCCATCTGTCCTGGATATCTCCCATGTATTCTCCACATCCATGCCTCACCCTTCCCTGTGTTCTTGGGACTACCCTGTATGAATCATATGAAAAGGACCCCCTTGTCCTCTGGCTTTGGGATGGGTTTAATTAATGCAGAGCACTGGTAGAAGATCAGGAAAAATTGGGAGAGTAAGGGTGGCATATTTACTCTCTTGGCTTTCTCTCTGCAGACTTCATGGACTGGCTAGTCCCTCAACTAAAGGTCATAGTTCCTATCAGGATGTTCTTCCTGCGTAATTCCTGTTCCCTCTCCTATTTCCACTAACCATTCCTTCCTCTTGCCTTTTCAGATCTAAGACCTACCCTCCTAACTCCAGCCCCATGTTACTAACCCCAGAATCCTTCACTATCTTCTGTGGGTTTACTACTACATACTTACTACTCTATAAATAGCCTTTTTATTAAACTCCCTTCAAATTATTTAATTTGAGTTTATCAGCTGCTTTCTGCCAGCACTCTGACTGATATATTATCCCATGATAGTGTCTGACAGTTTGTCATGAGAGATTTATTCTTTTGGCTTTCACTGTACCACCAGAAGAACACTGTTAGAAACTTAAAATCCATTATCAACCACTTACATATCCATATAAAACCTATTTTTTTCTGATTTAACAACTCATCATGCATGGTGTCATTCAAGGAATAGTTATAAAATAATTTATCAATAGACTGCTGACAGGGGTATATGTTATTTACTTTTATATTCCATTGTTGGAGACGGTATACTGTAGTGGTTAAAAGCCATATCATCTGGATTTTCATCCTGTTCTATTGCTTACTGATTGTGTAACTTTGGATCCCAGCTTGGATCTTAGTTTCATTACCTGAGTAAAAAGAGTAATAACAGTACGTATCTCATGTGGTTCTTATGATGAGTAAATACCATGTTTCCCTGAAAATAAGACCTACCCATAAAATAAGCCCTAGCAGGATTTCTAAGCATTTGCACAATATAAGCCCTACCCCAGAAATAAGAACTAGTGATGGGTGTGGCTACTCAGCATATCTGCACAACCCATGCATTTCATCGCAGAGCTGTAAAGAAGACGAGCAGCCCTTCTTATCTGCCCCATGAGAGCTCTACTGCTCTACATGAGAGATTGGGGCCAATGGTTCTAAAGGAAATAGAGTCATAAGAAATTCAGGATGAAATTCAGGGTTTGGAGAGTTACGATGATGTTCCAGAAAAAGATGACTTAACTATATTTGACCCATAAATGTAGATTGTTGTGCCATACTTAAAAAAAATAACACATCCCCTGAAAATAAGCCCTAGGGTGTCTTGTTGAGGAAAAACAGATAAGATCCCGTCTTATTTTCAGGGAAACACGGTAACTTAGCCATTCAAAATACTTAACATAGTACACAGTAACTTCAATAAATGCTAGTTTTATTATTAACACTTAGCATATTTATAACATATTCATTCATCTATGAATCCATTCTTCTGGCCATCCATTCAATAAATCTAGGGTTTCTATTATGTGTCAGACACTATGCTTCCTGGGATATGGTGCTAATGAGAACTAGAAAAGGTTCTTACTTACATGTAGCTTAAGGACTAGGTCTAGAGGCAAAAATACATGGACAAATAAATGTAATCACAAATAAATATAAACCTTGGATAAACACTATGTGGGAGAAGTGACTAGTATACAGTAAAATCATAGAGGTACTCTATCTCTGAAGGAAGACTAGAAGCCAATTAGACAAAGAGGGAAGAGAGATCCAATCAGAGGGAAAAGTAAGTGCAAAAAATGTAGTGGGGGGGAAGGACAGTAAATATGAATGAATATGATAGGCCCAGCTAGCTATAGAGGAAAGCAAAATCAGTATAGGGTCTTACACACAATGTTAAGACTTTTCCCTTTGTCTTAATAGAAATATGAAGCTACAGAAGTTTTTAAATGTGTATGTGTATGTGTGTGGCAATAATAAGCTCACTATATTTTGAAAGAAATTATTCTAACCAACAGCATCGTGGGAATGTAAGATGGATGCAGACA